TTACACACCGCTAAGCACGTGCCATTGAGCACAATCTGCCCAGGTTCTTTCCATGGCTTGGCCTGTCCTGGCAAAATGGTTCCCCCCTTCCCTCCTCCAAGCTGCCTTGGGAGATGACTTCGAGGTTTGAATTAAATAGCCCCGTGCAGGTGTCGGAAGGCTTTTAGTACACGGGAATTTGCATCGCTGGCTGCAGCTCCGGCTACAGGTCCTGTGTACACCCCAGGACTGGTTTCGGGTGAGAGCATCAGGCTCCAGCTCTTGCTATCTGCAGCAGCCACCCAAACAGAAAGCCCACAGCCTGGATCCTGGCTGAGCACCCTTGCTGAGCATCGTTGCTATACGGGCGCATCCCCAACCACAGAAATCCTCTGTCTGCATCGCACAAATCCAGCCCCACTGTCCCGCCGGCTGTCCCGCCCCTGCACACCCATCTCAGGGGCAGGGCTCTGGCTTTTACAAGTATTTTCCTCTCCTAATTAGCAATTAGTACAATGAGATGTGAAGGAGGCTCCCAGGAGGGTCCAAAACACTTGCTTGCAGAATCTGGCATGAGCAAGGTGCAGAATACAGCCCTGCAGCTGCTGGGTATGACCAAGGGTCCTGACTTCTGTGCATTCTGGTCAAAACTGTGTGTTTTTGGCAAGGTTATGAATTATGAAGTCAGGTGCATGTCTGGCATCCAGGAAGGGGGCTGCTGTGCAAACCACCCACCAGAATCAGCGAGGATGAAGTTTGCTCCTTGCAAACCCCCTTCAAACTGAACTGCAAGGCTTTGGCAGGAAAACATGGTGACTCCATCCTGTTTAAGGTTCAAAAAAATTAAAAATAAAATAAAAACCAGCATTACAAGATGTGGGGACCCATTTGGAGGCTTTGCTGCCGATGGGCGCCCATGCCTCCCGCTCCCTGGCCCCCAGCAATGCCGCCTCCATGCTGTATGCATTTTCTGCCTTCTTAGGCAGTGAATGAAATCATTCTGGGTTTTGCCACCCTCTGCATGTCTGACTGATTGAAATCCCTTCCTTTTTCTTAAATGAGGTTAAATATTGATGATAAAGTTAATACCATGCAGCACCTCCACACAGCACCAGCCCCGTGCCAGCACCTTGGGTGCAAACCCACTGCTCAGATCCCCGTCCCATTAAAAAATTCAGATTTATATTAGACAGATGTTTGATGGAGGCTGCTAAAAGCCAATGACCCAACAAAATCCAACGTCACCAAGCAAAGTAATGCTCACTAATCTTAACAAATTCAGCAGGTTGCGCAAAAAAGGCGGTTTCGTCTGGCGGGGGGGGTTTACAGCTTGTCCTGCCCTGCTTTAGCATTACGGGAACTTGGATATTTTCAGAAATCTGCAAAAAAAGGTAAGTCATGAAACACCAGACTGGCTTTGCACAAGCAACGGGGCGAGGGCAGCAAATCTCAGGAGCCGTCAGTGGTGATAAGCACCATTGCACAATTAAACGGTCATATGGAAAAGCAATCATCCATCCCCCAAAAAACCCCGGGGTTCGGTGTCTGGGTGCACCCAGATAACCTATGGGTACCTCCTGCATTTCTAGGGGTGACCTGAGCCCGTTCAAGCGGGGCAGCAAGTCCTCAAGATCCCCTCCCTTGAAAAAAAGGCATAAAATCCACCAAAAAGTGACTTCCCCCTTCAAGGCTTTTTGGCTGTTTTAGAAGGAAAAGCCCACGATGATGCTGAGCGCCAGCTGTTGTCCCCAAAAAACGCTCACATCGCCAATGGGCGCAACACCGGCTTGGTCCTGTAATGGGGACCTCAAAGAGAAACCCCATCAATGTGATGCAACCGAGGACAAAGCCGGGGTGAAGTCAGGGGCTCAGATGTCCCCGATCATACCCCAAATTAAGCAAGCATGGGCTTTCTGGGAAAACCACGTGGTTTTCAGGCAAACTGAAGAAGTGAGAGGGCAGGCGGGAAGCGATGGTGAGGCAACCCCCTGCCCCCCCAGGAGCCTGTGGCACGATGGGGGCAATGGGGGCACCCCCAGGGTCCCCTTGTGTCCTCAGGAGCCTCCAAACACCCTTGGCACTGCCCCCGGGGGGGGCAA